GTGGCCAGGTGGGCGGGGCTGGGAGGTGGAGGGAGTGAGGAGGGGGCGTGGCGTGGCTAGGAGGGGGCGTGGCGGGCCAGGAGGGCGGAGCGGGGAGAGGGAGGGAGGAGGGGGCGTGGCGTGTCTATGAGAGGGCGTGGCGTTGTTAGGAGGGGGCGTGTCCGGGCGAGGAGGGCGGGGCGGGCCAGGTGGGCGGGGCTGGGAGGTGAAGGGAGAGAGGAGGGGGCGTGGCGGGGCTAGGAGGGGGCGTGGTCTGGCTAGGAGGGGCGAAGCGGAGAGGTGGAGGGAGGGAGGAGGGGGCGTGGCGTGGCTAGGAGAGGCGTGGCTATGGGGCGCGGCGGGGAGGTTGAGGAGATATGGGCGGGGCAAGGGGGCGGGGTGAGGAGGAGGGCATGGCGGTGAGGTGGAGAGAGGGTGGAGTGATCGGTGCAGGGTGAGGAGGGGGCTGGGAGGGCGGTCAGTGGGGGGCGGGGTGGGGAGGTTGAGGGAGGGAGGACGGGGAGGGGCGGGGCTAGAATGGCGGGGCCATGATGGACGGGAGGGAGGGGAGGGGAGAGGATGAAGAGGCCGGGCTAAGGGAGATGGTGGGGTGCAGGGCGGGAGACCGCGGAGTGGGCGATAGAGGGGCCAGGGTGGGGCTGAGCAGGGCGGGGAGAGGAGGGGGAGGTGGAGGGGATGAAGGGTTTGGGCCAGGGCGCTGGAAGGGCAGGGCGGGGAGAGGGTGGACCAGGCGGTGCTGACAGGTGGACGGGAGATCTGGGACCCAGAAGGTAAAGGCCAAGCAGGGTCCCTTGAGGGGCGGCTCAGAGACAGTGTCCACTGGCCCTTCATGCCCGCTTCTGCTCTCCTGAGTTCTGCGGGCACCAGCTGGCGCCAGCCCCCATGACAGCAGAAAGGGGCCTGGGGCCATCTGCCTAAGTCCCTGCCCCACACCAGGCCACAGCCCACTCTGCAGGTGAAGCCCAGCGCTGGCAGCAGGGCCTGGGAGGGGCCGTGTGTGTTTGGGGAGGGGCCGGGGGCTATGGGTTAGTGAAGTTTGACAACATTTTCATCTTCTCTTCCTGGAACCCCCTCCTCTCCCCACCCCCACCCAGCTGTCCAGGCCCTGGTGGCCCCTGGTACAAGGCTGGGAGGCCTCGGGGAGGGGACAGAGCTGCCCCTTGGCTGAAAAACAAAAGCCCTTCTCTGGCTGTGGCTGGTGGGGGTGCTTGGGAGAAGGGGCTGCCAGGGAGAGGCACACGTGTCTCCGAGGACGAGGGGCGATGCTGGAAGGGGCACAGTGGCCTTCAGCCCCAGGGATGCCCAGGACCCCAGCAAGTCCCCCACCCCTGTGGTGCAGGCTCACCCTCGAGTGGCACAGGAATCCCAGGTAGACGACGGCGGCTGCGGGCAGGAGCACCAGCAGGAAGGCTGTGGCGGGCAGCAGCAGGTGCAGCAGGAGGCCGGCCAGCAGCCGGCCCGGAAGCAGCAGGGGCCCGAGGCCTCGGGCAGCCAGGCCCAGCCACCCTAGGCATGTCAGGGCTGAGGCCTGGTGGTCGGGAGGTCTCCGGGGCAGCATGGGCGCTGTGTCCGAAGCCCCACCGCCCTCGTCCTCCTCCATCTCTGTCTCCCTCCCTTGCTCACTCATGCTCCTGCTGCTGCAGGCCTGTGGGGAGCACTGAACAAAGCTCCCCAGGGCCTCCCTACAAGACCTTTAACCCCACCCCCGGCTGCAGCCTGTCCTCAGGCCCCAGCCAGACGCTGCACCCTGGCTAGGGAGGTCCCACCTGTTGTCTGCCCCAGAGCCACACCCCCACCTGCTTCTCCTACCAGGCAACTGCAACTACAGCCGGCCAGGCTCGAGTCTCCAGCCCCTGCCGGCTCCTGGTGCTCTGGGCAGGCCTTGCGGGGCCCTCCCCACAGGGGCCTCCTCCCTCCTTGTCCCGCCCTCCCCCTCTGCAGCTCCCCAACACAAAGGCTTCATTTCAAAGGCCTCGACTCTGCCAGCCGCCCTGGCAGTAGCTGCCACCTGGAGGCCAGGCCCCCACCCCACTTCCCAGCCCCGGTACCGCTGCTCCCCTCATCCAAACACCTCGCTGTCCTCCACTGCATTGCAGTGTGGATGAGAGGGCCCCTCAGGATGCTTATGAGCCGCAGGGTGTGGGGCCTGTACACGCAGGCACTGGGAAGGCAGTGGGGCACCTCAGGCACCCTCGCATCTGAACCCAGCCATCCCGAGCAGAGGAAAGGCAGATTTTCCGGGAGGAGAACCCGTATTCCATCATTTCCAGTCAGGGACAAAACTTTTCCCAGCCACCCAAAACCCCAACCAATCTCCCCAAACGTCACTCCCGATTCTGACATTTATTTATTTATTTATCTATCTATCTATTTATTTATTTTGAGGCGGAGTCTCACTCTGTCACCCAGGCTGGAGTGCAATGGCGCGATCTCTGCTCACTGTAACCTCCGCCTCCCAGGTTCAAACGATTCTCCTGCCTCAGCCTCCTGAGTAGCTGGGATTACAGGCGTGTGCCACTGCGCCCTGCCGATTCTGACATTTATTTGAGACGGTCTCACTCTGTCACCCACGCTGCAGTCCAGTGGTTCAGGCACTGCTCCCTGCAGCCTCGACCTCCTGGGCTCAATCAATCCTCCCACCTCAGCCTCCTGAATAGCTGGAACTACTGGCACCTGCCACCGCGGCCTGGCTAATTTTGGTGTTTTTTGTAGAGATGGGATCTCGTCATGTTGCCCAAGCCGGTCTGGAGCTCCGGGCGATCCGCAAACCTGGGCGACCCACAGTGCCAGGATGACAGGCATTAGCCCCGTGCCTGGCGCAGTCCCTGAGGTCTGTCCGTCTCCCACGGACAGACATCAGCTCTACTGCACAGCATCAGCAGTTCCAATTCCCTTTTCTTTTCTTTTTCTTTTTCTATTTTATTTAATTAATTAATTTAATTTTTAAAGACGGGGTTTCACCATGTTGGTCAGGCTGGTCTTGAGCTCCCAACCTCAGGTGATCCGCCCGCCTTGGCCTCCAAAGAGCTTGGATTACAGGCCTGAGCCACCATGCCCAGCCCCTTTTCTTTTCCTTCTTTCTTTTTTTAAGATGGAGTTTTTATTTTTTTTTTAAATAAGGTGGGGTTTCACCATGATAGCCAGGCTGGTCTTGAACTCCTGACCTCAGGTGATCCACCCACCTCGGCCTCCCAAAGTGTAAGGATTACAGGCGTGAGCCACCACTCCCAGCCTTAAGATGGAGTTTCGGCCGGGCGCGGTGGCTCAAGCCTGTAATCCCAGCACTTTGGGAGGTCAAGAGATCGAGACCATCCTGGTCAACATGGTGAAACCCCGTCTCTACTAAAAATACAAAAAATTAGCTAGGCATGGTGGCGCGTGCCTGTAGTCCCAGCTGCTCAGGAGGCTGAGGCAGGAGAATTGCCTGAACCAGGAGGCGGAGGTTGCGGTGAGCCGAGATCGCGCCATTGCACTCCAGCCTGGGTAACAAGAGCGAAACTCCGTCTCAAAAAAAAAAAAAAAAAAAAGATGGAGTTTCACTCTGTTGCCCAGGCTGGAGTGCAGTGGCATGATCTTGGCTCACTGCAACCTCTGCCTCCCAGGTTCAAGCAATTCTCCTGCCTCAGCCTCCCAAGTAGTTGGGAGTACAGGCACGCACCACCACACCTGGCTAATTTTTTGTATTTTTAGTAGAAACAGGGTTTCACGATGTTAGCCAGGCTGGTCTTGAGATCCTAACGTCCCATGATCTGCCCACCTCACCCTCCCAAAGTGCTGGGATTACAGGCGGCTCAGCCACTGCACCTGGCCCAAGCTCCATCTTCATCATGAATTGACACTTAGGAGGGAGGGTGTCTGTGAGCTGAGCTGTCCCCTGTGACGACTTCTCCTAGTGGGCTCCATCCCTTCCAACACTTTCCAGGCCTCTCCAGCTCACCTGCTTCCTTCGGACATGTGAACAGGTCAGACGGTGGCACCACGTGGCATGTGACGTCCGGCAGGGCAGCTGAGGCCTCCCTGCAGCATTTGCCAGGCCCTGTTGCCCACGGCACAGCTTCACTGTTTCCACTGGTGCCCACACGCCAAGGTCTTTAGTGCTGTGTGTTTATTTGGATAGTGATTTGGGGTTGACAAAAAAGGTTACAGCCAGGCACGGTGGCTCACACCTGTAATCCCAACACGTTGGGAGGCCAAAGAGGGTGGATCACCTGAGATCAGTAGTTTGAGACCAATCTGACCAATAAGGTGAAACCTCATCTCTACTTAAAAATAAAAATAAAGGGCCGGGCGCGGTGGCTCAAGCCTGTAATCCCAGCACTTTGGGAGGCCGAGGCGGGTGGATCACGAGGTCAAGAGATCGAGACCATCCTGGTCAACATGGTGAAACCCCGTCTCTACTAAAAATACAAAAAATCAGCTGGGCATGGTGGTGCGTGCCTGTAGTCCCAGCTACTCAGGAGGCTGAGGCAGGAGAATTGCCTGAACCCAGGAGGCGGAGGTTGCGGTGAGCCGAGATCGCGCCATTGCACTCCAGCCTGGGTAACAAGAGCGAAACTCCGTCTGAAAAAAAATAAATAAATAAAATAAAAAATAAAAAAATAAAAATAAAAACAATTAGCCAAGTGTGGTAGCACGCACCTGTAGTCCCAGCTACTTGGGGGGCTGAGACAGGAGAATTGCTTGAACCCGGGAGGCAGAGATTGTAGTGAGCTGAGATCGCACCATTGCACGTCAGCCTGGGCGACAGAGCAAGACTCCATCTCAAAAATACAAATAAAAGTTTAAAAAGTTGCAAAGCCTTGCTTTCTAAGTCTCCTCACCCAGGTCCCTTGCTTCTTCACTCAACAAACACTGCTGAACTGCTACTGAGTCCCAGGGACTGCTACCAGAAAGGGGTTCAGATCCAGACCCCAAGAGAGGGTTCTTGGACCCCACACAAGAAAGAATCCGGGCAAGACCAGTGAGCAAAGGGAAAGCAAGTTTAATGGGGAAATAAAGGAATAGAAGGGCTGCCCCAGAGCAGAGCAGCGGCCGGCTGCCCCCCGAGTCCACTCATTGTTGCTTCTGGATCCTGTGCCCAACACGGTGTGGCTCATTCCTGAGTTTTCCGGGAAAGGGGCAGGCGGTTTTGGCGGGTTAGGGCCGGCTTGTTCGCGGCATCCTGTTTTATTAACGGGGTCTTTGTGGCCTGTGTCTTGTGTTGATCTTATCTTGTGACTAAGAATGCCTGACCTCCTGGGAATGCAACCCAGCAGGTCTCAGCCTCATTTTACCCAGCCCCTGTTCAAGATGGAGTTGCTCTGGTTCGAAGGCCTCTGCAGAATCACTCCAGGTTCTTTACATTCCACGGGAAAGCGGCTGCGGCCTCGGCCCTCGGTGCCCCCCGTGTGCGGGTCCTACAGGCAGCACAGAGGCAGCTGTGGCTACCCCTGCTGCAGTGGGTCCCAGGGGAGACGGGAGTCCTGGGAGGAGCCTGCTGGGCGCCCGTACCTCTGGGAAGCCGGTGTGAGGCAGTTTCTGTGGCCTCCCTGGCCCTGATGAGTATGAGACTTTCCACGTCCCCCAGAGCTCCTCACTTCTTTCCTGGTGCCTGGGCCAGGCTGAGGCCACCTGACGCTGTATACCCAGCCACTTAGGAAAGCCCTGCCTTCTGCCTTCGGACCAGCGCCGGTCCAGCATGCTTGGGAGCCTCACAGAGCTTTCCTTCTAGAAAAGGAAGGCAGACATTTAAATAAAATAAACACATGGATACTTTCCCGTAGTGATAAATCCTGAGAACAAACTAAAACAGGGTCAGAGGCGCACGTTGCCTCAGGTCCATCGGTGGTCAGCTCTGGGAAGGTGACGGATGAGTAACCTGATGAGATTTTCGGGGCAGTGTCTGTGTGGCTGGGGTGGTGGGATGGGACCCCTGGTCCCTTGCCTGGAGACCCTTTGGGCCCTTGGAGAGGTGGCCTTCTAGGGAGTGGGGGAGGCCAGGCCAAGGCCCTCAGGAGACCCTGTCCTTGAGGACCTGGGAGGCTGAAGGGGGCTGGGTGGGAATGGGCAGGCCCTCCCGTGTCCTGTGCAGTTGCTGGAGAGCCGGGCTGCTGTAGCCGCCCCACAAGGCATGCTTCCTTCTCCTGCCTGGCCCCAGGTACTTGGAGATGGGAAGATGCCCTCAGGACCAGCCCCGCCCACCCTGCCCCAGGCCCCCAGAGTCCTGCTGACCCAGGCCTTGCTCTGGCAGAGCGGCCTTTCCAGATGTAGACACACTCTAAATGTGATTCTCCCCACACTCCCTCCTGGCTCGCCCCGCCCCTGCCCAGACGTTTGTCCCTTCCCTGGCTCCAGACTTGCTCCAGTCAGCCCCCAAGGGGTTTTTGTCCCCACCACGCCAGCACCACCCTCTTCCCCAGGATGCCTGCCTGGCGTCCTTGGTGAATCTTTTGTCCTGTGTAGCATTTGCAGAAAGGGAGGCTAGAACCTTACCCTGCCCTCCTCCCCAGCCTGGAATCAGGAGGAGGGGCTGGCACCCACCTCTGTGTGGGCTTAGCCAGCAGGGACAGGAGTGAGGGTGAGGGAGGCAGCCCAAGGGTGGGCCCCCTGGAGAGGGGCACGTCGTGGTACACCCAACGTTGTGCTTCCTGGGGGTGGCGGGATCTGAGCAGCTCTCGCCCACAGACGTGTTCCTGCTTGTCCTCCTCAACCGCCCTGGCCTTTGTTCCCCAGGACGGCGGCCGAGCTAGGGCCCTGGCAGCTAGCAGGGGAGGAAGCATGCTTGGCAGGGGCTGGTCTGAAGGCAGAAGGCAGGGCCTTCCTAAGTGGCTGGGTAAACAGTGTCAGGTGGCCTCAGCCTGTCCCCGGGACCAGCTGTGTTCTCCCACCCCCTACAAGGCTGAAGCTGCCGACTT